AATTTGGCCTGGAGCGGCGCGGTGCAGAGAGCAATGCTGACGAGGACTTAAGATGAAAAGGAGAAGCCCTCGGCGCGGCGGTTGGAATGTAACACATATTAGCGCCTACAAGACTGCATGAATACTTTACGCATTGCGTCAAACACAGTGAGTTCAGCAGCGGTCGGCGTGAAACGCATAGCGCCTACAAGACTGCATGGATACTTCACGCATTGCGCGAAACACAGTGCGCCAGCGCACTGTGTGTCAAAACCCCAATCTAGCTGCTCAAAACCTCTTCACGTCTCTTTTGTTCGGATAACCACCAAATTTTGCACAGGCATTAGTATAAGCTCGAAGAGGGTTCACCTAAAATTTCAAAACTTAGTCATCAAAAGTTTCAAAACGGCGGCCATCTAAAAATCCTGTTCATCTCATGTAAAAATCTTAAAAATTTCAACCAATTTTTAGGCGCCATATGTGACCTAATGAACTCCAAAAATTAGTTAAATTTTGTTTATCGATCCAAAATACGTCCCGGGGGACGTCTTGGGCTTATGCATTCCACTTCAAAATGGTGAATTTCTCATTTGGCCATTCAAAGAAATATGAATTTTTAATCGGATTTTTCCTTTAATCAAGAACCAAGCCTCTTCATTTGAGCGGAGTTCCTTTTGATTTAAGCAAAAATCCGATTGAAGCAAGAGTATTTTTTCTTGTTGATGTTTTCAAGTGTCTGGACTCTAGATCCAAGCGACTTTTTTTCATTGTTGAATTAGAAAAAAACATAACAATAGTTAACTTTTTGCGATGACCGGAGAGGGTTCCCATGAATTACAGTTTCAAAATAACGGCCGTCATGATGGCGGGGAATTGGTGTCTTGCAAGCTGTTGACTACATTGCGCATTCTCCTCATATTTTCTTGAATTTTCATATTAAAATACAATTTCCTGAATTTGGCTACGAACGAATAGACACTAGTTTGACTTCACAAACCGACATTTATGGTGAACTGAATAATTAGTTTCACTTTTGACCGTGCTCAACTGCATACGGTTAAAAATGCTTGCGTGACAGACTTTAGTGGGGCCGATAAGTGTAACTAATTTATTCGCCCGCTGCGCAGTTTTAGGTGTTTCCTGAACAATTTTTTTTTTTTTCCCCAAGTTGGTGTGTTTTCGAACTCACTGATTCAATTAACAACGATTCAAAAACTCGGACAGTGTTTTATTGTTTGCAGAAAAAAAGAAATGAACAGATATAAAACGAATGGAAATATCGCGTCGGTATTTTCCGTGATTTTACTGAAAACCATCGAGAAAATCCTACGAAACTTTTCAGAAAACCTATGAGTGGTCTTTCAAAAAGATATGTCTTTAAAAATTAAACAGAAGTAAAGATGTGCAACGTAGCAATCGGAGATAGTTACGCTTTTTTTTCGCGTGAGCGGTAAATATTCGAATTCATTCACGGCTGGCGCAACGAGATAACTATTCGCCCACGGGTGTACCCATGTTGCCGCTAGCCGGATTGAAGGCGCGTCGCACTGCGCAGATGATTCGACCGCGTTTCCTAAACTTCCTTGACTTCCTTTCTTTCCTGGCCGGCGCGACACTAAAATCGCCGCAAAATTGAGACTCCGCTACGCCTCGTCATTCTTGACTTTCTGCCCCGTTTTTACAAAAATTGAAAGCAAATCATGTATCTTGATCGCAACCATTCAGAAACTCAGATCGTATTTTATTTTTACAGTTAAAAAGAGAAAAGAAAAGAAAAGAAAAGAAAAGAAAAGAAAAAATAAAAAGAAATGAATGAAAATGTTGTGTCGAAATATTCGGTGATATTGTTTGAAATCGTTTAGGTATATTCCTGGATGCCAGTGTGTAGCTTTTAAAAGAAATGAATTTATAATCGAACATGAGAGGCGGTGCACATGCACACCGTTACAATCTGAGATAATTACGGTCACTATTTTTGCCTATCAGCCCCGTTTTAATTATAATTTAAGAAAAAATATGCATCTCAATTGCACCGACTCAGAAACTTAGACCGTGTTTAATTTCTTTTAGTTTAAAAGAAAAAGATATGAAAAGAATTTTACGGGATGTCGACTATTTCATTACAGATTTTTTAATGTCAGGGTTGCCACAAAAATTTGGAAATGATTTTCCCTGACTTTCCCAGGTTTTCCCTGACGAAAAATGGAGAAATTCCCTGACCTTTGAGGACGCGCGCCATAATCGCACAGTCAAAACACCTTGCTAGCTACCATCGCACTAATAAAGCGTCTCATTTGAAACGCGCTTAAGCTACGGAGTCAGAAATTAATTGTAGAACATTTGGAAATACAGAAAGGGTTGTTAACTTTTTCTTTTAATTTTGATGCATTTGACTTTCTTGAGCAACCCAATAATTGTTTTAGAAATGAAAACTTTTGAACGATTGTTCCGTTGAAGAAACACTCTAAAAAAAGGGTCTTCCCTGGTGTACGTTTCTCTATTTATCTCTCCCTTCCCAGGATTTTTCAAACATCTATTTTTAAAGTGAGCTTCAAATGGTTTATTTTTCAAGAACGTTGATGCTTTGCGTTTGAAATAATCCTAGCCACTCGAATTACTTTAAAGAAGAAAATTAAACGGTTACTGGTTAGTCATCGGTAGTTGTTGAAATTTCAAAAATACACACAAAAACTGGGCATTCCAATTTGCGTTACTTGTTGCGTTGGCGACCAAAAATGGCTGCATAATTTAACTCTTGAATGCATCGCGAGATATGCCACTTCATTGCAATTTATATTGCGTTCGAAACCGAAAAAAAGAACGATTTTAAGCAACTCGTGAAAATTGTCAATTTTTCCCTGACTTTTAGCTGTTTTTGGTCATATTCCCTGACTTTTCCAGGTTTTTTAGAGCACTTTTTTTCCCCTGATTTTCCAGGATTACCCTGAATTCCCTGACCGTGGCAACCCTGTTATGTATTCCCTATTTTTACTGGAATTTTAAATAAAATTTTCTAGATTCAGACCGCAAGTAAATCGACACTCGTTTGACCTCACGGACCAAATGCTTTGGTGCATGGAATCAAATGTTTTACTTTTGTGTATGCTACACTGCATGTAGGTTAAATTTGGAGTTTCCTGATCCGTGACCAATTTTCGTGATATTTTCCTGATGACATCAACATTCCGGGTGTTTTCCGTTTTTTTTTTCTGACAGGAAACACACTAATCTTGGTTGTTAACCGGCCGACTTGGATCAAACTTGGTGTTAAGGGCTTTTTGGCACGAAGAGAAGGAATCTGACATCGGAATGCTAAAGTATTGCACTATATTTTCAATATGGCAACCTTCAACGAGGCGGGAAGTTATCATCTCGGTTTCTTAAAAGAGCGAATTTAACGGCAAAATGCAAAAATGTTGCACTATTTTCAAGATGAGGTGCTTTCCGCCATTTTAATGGCTGTCGGGTTAAAAACAGCACAATATTTTTGCATTTTAATGTCATATTCTTCCTTTTCGTGCCTAAAAACCTGGGGACACCAAGTTCCATCCAAGTCGGCCGATTAACGACCAAGGTATCCATTTCTCGTTATCATGAACTTAAACTGGTCGTCATTATTAAACGGTAATACATGGCAACCTGCGATTAGCCGCCCCCCCACAAGAATAACCAGGTGCACGTACGTGAAAGATGTAAAAACTTGTACCCAATAGCTGGAATAATCACTGTAAACCGCGCTTCGATATCTCGATCGAGTAACAAGTCACGGTCGAATGTAAACATTAAAATACCCTCAGAAATGAGTGGCGATCTCTCCAATATCACGAAAACGGTTCGTATACTCAATCTTAAATTTCAGTGCATTTACAGGCAGTATGGGGTCATCAAAAGGATGAAAACCAACTCAGAGGGCCCAAAATCGGGCAATTTTGTGCACGGCTCTTCGTGTTCTTTTTCAAACATATTTCCGCGCGTACGAAAATTTTTGAAAAATCGGTCCAAGAATGCTAAATACAGGCAATAAATAATGTAGCCGATGCAAGTAGTCGGAAAATCATGAAAAACATGGAATATCATGTCGTGATCTCTAGCAACGTGTCTCGGATGACGAGTCACAGGGTGGAATTTTTGAGTTATTTTCCTGTGCATATTTCCACACAGATGGAAATCGCACAGAGATTTAGTAAAAACGCAAAATACGTTGCATCGTGTGTATCATCATAATTTTGCGGCAAATACGCGTCTGTTCAGCGGTTTATGAGAAGAAGCGAGAAGTTACGCGCTTTTCACTTGAATATCGCGGCATTCACGAACGTCAGTAAATTGAGACAAAAGAAAAACTGTGGTTTTCCTTCATTTCCGCGCGATAAAGCAATCCTACTCCGGATTTTGAATATTGGCGCTTGGTGTCTGTTATGACCAGTGTTGTTCATAAAAAATTTCAACTCAAGTTATCCTTATCAGTAAAAAAAGTGCGCGATTTTTTAAAACGGTGAGAGGTTACGCGTTTTTCATCTCAGTATCGCGAAAAATAAGAGATTTTTCCAGCAATTTTGGATTACGTGAAAAATTACGCGTCCCTCCTCTAGGTAGCGGCAAATACGCGATGTAACCAACGGTATTTTAATAGGAGCAAAGAGCTACGCGTTTTTCATCTGAATATCGCGCAAAATACATACTTGTTCCAGCGGTTTTGTAAAATCATAAGAGCTATTCTCATCTTAACATCGCGGCAAATACGCAGTTTTGCCTAGCGGTTTGATGAAAACACAAAAGAGTACGTGTTCATAATCTAAGCATCACGGCATTCATAAGCGTCATTAATCTGAGACAGGCAAAAGCCAAGATCTGCCTTCATTTTCGCGTGATACCACATAACTACTCCAGAGTTCGAATAGTTGCAAGCGTAGTTTTCACATCTAACTGCAGGACCACAATTTTTCTTTTACATGAACACACAGCTGTAAGAGATTTACTCATCATTTTGAAAATGCAAGCATAAATATTATGGCTTTACATACCGATTAACAGCTGGCGACATGCACTCCTGAAACAGAAAAAAATAACATTCAAAGATAATATAGGGCAGAAAAAGATCAGATCAATGACAAAATGAGGGTGGGGTTGTAGCGAAATAACGAGTTAAAAACCGTAGCCTAGAAATCTCTATACCCTTCAGATCCGTTCAATCCTTTTTATATCAAGGGCGAGTCTTCAGAGAGTGGTCCCTCTTTATCAGTCAGCAAGATAGCTATTTCGTGTCTCGTCAATTAATTTCGATACTGGCTTCGGTTCAAACAGTAAGTTTTCCTGTGTTACACCACCTAACGTTGATCGGAAATTTTGGAATTTTTCAGCAAAAAGAAAGCTCACCTAAATATGCTGTTGTTACTGCTGACATTTTTGCGATTTTTCCGAATATTTCCTTGAGAAAATGAGAAATTACACAGTAATATTCGATATTATTTGGCGGCAACCGCGCGATTTTCCAGCAGTTCCTTAAGAACATTAAAAATAACGCTAATGGACCACTAGACAAGGTACGAATTTCAGCATTCTGATACATGTGTCTTCACCAAAATTTCACGTAAAACACGGTGCGCACGACGAAAATTACCGAAATCAACTCCTTCCGAAGATATTTAATGATTTTTGGTGCGTGAATTCAAACCACTCGCTCATGAAAACTCAATGCTCTACGTGATTCACATCGCGCGCTAAACATTATCATGAACGTCTCTACGATAAAAAAATCTGGCAACCTCAATCTTGACACTTTTGCTTAGCTATAGCAAATTACTTATCGTTTGAACAACACATGGTAGGAAATGAGCATTGCTTAATTGAGAAGCTTGCTGAAACCGTTGTAGTGCGCGATTTGACTCACGTAGAGCTTCGAGTTTCTCGTGAGCGGGCAGTTCAAATTCCTCGTAATCAATGTGAAATAAAAATGTTAATATCTCCGTTAGAAGTTGGTTTCGGTAATTTTCGTTGCGCGAATTGTGTTCTACGTGAAATTCTGGTAATGAAACATGTATCAGAATGCTTAAATTCGTATCTTGTCTAGTGGTCCATTCTCCTAATTTTCGCGGCATACACGCGAATCCTCAGCGGTTGATGAAGAATATGTGGGATCGCACAATTTTCACCCAGTAGTGCTTGAAACTCGACATGAAGTCTTAGCAGTCATCTGGCCTGCAACTTCTTTTCTTAGGGGCCAGAATGAGAAATTGTCCTTTCGAAATGCATCGAGTCAGAAATACCCTATTGAATAGTAATGTTAGGACAAGACCCGATGCGTCACGATACTTGACGCAGACGGAGAGGAAGAATTGATAACACGACTGACAACACCTTGCAGAATGCGCCGGAAAATCCCAAAAACGGAATTAAACACGATTTTCTTAGCGGTTAAATTTTTCAGCGGCCAAAGGCGATTTCTAACCGGCACATCGCTGTTTGGCGTTTCAAACACTGTTTTCACCTCAATATTGAGAAAGATACACGATTTTTAGATACGCGAGCCTAATGTTAGAATGTCAGGAATATGAGATACGGAAAAGCATAAAATTCTCGACAAAAAAAATGTATTTACGTCAAATTTGTGCTTTTGGAATTTTACTCATGAAGTTCTACACAGATTTTTTAAGCTGTGCGAGTTATTTTCTATAATTGCGTACATCTTTCGTCCTTATTACCCTTACACTTAAAAAAACACATTGGATCTAGAGTCCAGACTCTAAAAAACATCGACAAGAAAAAATACTCTTGATTCGATCAGATTTAAGCATAAATCAAGAACCAAGCTTCTTAATTTGAGCGGATTTCCTTTTGATTTAAGATTAAGTCTGACTGAATCAAGAGTATTTTTTCTTGTCAATGTTTTCAAGAGTCTGGACTCTAGATCAAATGTGTTTTTTTTTTTCAGTGTATGTACACTCCGGCGTCCGAATAGTTATTCAATTCATTTCCGCCTTTTAAAAAGTGAGGAGTTGCGCAAATTCCATCTCAACATCCGGAAAAGTACGCAATATTCCCGGCGGATTCGTTAAATCCCAGACAATTACGCGCTTTTCATCTCGGTAGTGGGAAATGCACGACTTTCCCAGGATTTGTTTAGAGGGAAAAGAGAAATTACGCGTTAATCACCGCATTATTGCGGCAACTACGCACTATCAGTATCACGGAAAATAAAATCAATTCACGATAATTTCTTGATAACTTATAATTTGAATTTTGCACTCTCCGATATTTGATTAAGTATTTGTTAATTTTGCCTTTGCAGCGCTTACCTAATATTGAGCTCTATTCTAAAAGTAATATGAATTTTTGAATAAATCTCAGCATTAGGTAAGTACTCAGAGGCGAAATTAAAATATATTTATCTATACAGATTCCTTGATACTAACGCAACGCTAACTTGCGGAATTCGAGTTAAATTTCAGCTATACGCTGTGAAATTCGATTGAGGAAAGTGAATATTGATCGAATCAAAAAAGAACAAATTGAAAATATAATTTAAAGTACGTACCAGGAGAGGGTTATCCAATTGCCCGACGCCACGCTGAAAGCACTCACAACACTGTCACGAAGCCTGAACTAAAAAACTTGGCCATGAGAAGATTTGAGGTATTAAAGATAAATAGTATGGGAATGTGCACAGGTTTACTGTGAGGTGCACAAAATGTACGAATTTACTGTTCTGATTTAAATTCTGCCCATGTTAGGTGTGTACAATTTATGTAGTTACACAAAGCAAAAAAATAAAATAAAATAAAATAAAAGAGAAAATGATCGATGATTTTGTATAAACGACCAATTTACTCAAAGAATACACGCATGCATGACACTTCATAGAGACTTCTTTCAAATCCTTGCTTATGTCGGTGGACACAAATACAGCGATAGATTACTTCCCGAAAAATGTTTCGTGGGACTACTATTCGTCACGTGGCTCAACAGTCTTAACGTAGATGCATTTGTTGTCAACTTAATGCTACATATTTCTAGACGCTTGACGTCAAAAAATTTAAATGAATGTTTCCATTATCATTTAAGCGCTGTCATTTTAACTAATTCATCTACATTTGGATAAATATTTTGGAATACGTATCATTTTGTCACTGGTCCGATTTTTATTTGAATAATGAGACATTTCTCCAATTTCTCTCGCCACTAAAATAATATTTCAAAAATGTTTTTGGCTCAATTATTTATAGATCTAAATGCTTAGGTATTTCCATGAGGAGCAGCGGAGCAATTAAATTACTACATGTTAAGCACAGCTTTTAACTTCGGATTATTATTCTTCTCCAATGTCTCTCATCACAAAAAAACAAACAAAAGGTACTCTCAACTCAACTTATAGATCTCTGAAATTATCTTGTCTCAACTCAAGGTGTAAGTGCTGTCGTTTCGAATAATTTATCTACATTCGGATAAAAGCGGGTCTAGATTTTGAAACGCATGACAAATTAATTATTCGTCTCCAATTTCTCTCATCACAAAAAAAGCAAAAGGTTCTCTCGGCTTGACTCATAGATCTCCGCAATACTTACGTCTCAACTCAAAAAAGTACTTGAATTGTAAGTGCTGTCCGCTCAACTTATTTATTTACATGCTGATAATATCGGGTAAAGATTCGGGTCTACATTTTGAAACGCAGAAACAATTTTTCTTCTCCAATTTCTCTCATCACAAAAAAAAAATATAAAAATAAAAATAAAAACAAAAGTTGCTCTCGGCTCAACTCATAGATCTCCGAAGTTATCTTGTCTCAACTCAAGGTGTAAGTGCTGTCGTTCTAACTAATTAATCTTCATTCGGATAAAAGCGGGTCTAGATTTTGAAACGCGTGACAAATTATTCGTCTCCAATCTCTCTCATCACAAAAAAAGCAAAAGGTTCTCTCGGCTTGACTCATAGATCTTCGCAATACTCAAGTCTCAACTCAAAAAAGTACTAGAATTGTAAGTGCTGTCGGCTCAACTTATTTATTTACATGCTGACAATATCGGGTAAAGACCATGAATAGCGTGAAATTTCATCAGCGTGAAATTAGCGTGAATTTTCACTGAACGGAACTACTTTCATTTGAAAAACTTCGACTATTCTCTAATTTCTATCACCATCAGTGAAGTAAATTTGAACATATTTTCCACTCAATTTATAGATTTGAATGCTCGTGTGTTTCTATTAAGAGTCGCAAGCAATTCAATCACTATATGCACGGCATGGAGGAAATGTATTGGACGAAAAAAATCGGACGAAAATTCTTGAAACCCACGGCATAGCTCCTCTTTCGGATTAAAATAAATTCCTCCACTTGTTCTCATCACAAAAAAACTGAAGATACTCTCCGTTCCACTCATAAGACTAAGTTCTCTTGACTCAACTCAAAAATCTACTGATTGTAAGTGCTATCAGCTCAACTCATTCTCATTCGGCTCAACTGATAAAATCGGGTTTAGACAGTGTATAGCGTATTCTTTAGTCATTGAACGTTAAAATTCCCATTTTTTGAGGAACATCTGACCTACGCAAATTGTTCTTACAAGCAAAATAAAATTTAAAGAAGTATTTCATACTCAACTCATAAAACTGAATGCCAGTATCTTTCGATAAGGAGTAGCGAGAAATTTACTCAATGTGCGTATGTTCGTCTCCGATTCCTCTCGTCAAAGAAAAATTAAAAAAACAAAAGATCTTCACTATTGGCTTAGTTCATGGATCAACTAGTAATTGATTTCGTCTCATTACAAAGTGCAGTCGTCTCAACTCATGAAACTACATGCTCAGAATTGGGTTCAGAATGTAAATAGAGTAAAGGCCCGTTACTGAACGGTCCAGGTTTATACTTCAGAAGCCTTGTGAATTCTTTTCTCATTTTGCACATTCGACTTAACTAATTAATCTGAATTTTAAAGTGTTTTAATTATGAATATTACACAATTTTGTCACTAGTTGCTGCAGTTTCTGTCGAATGCGTTTACATTCTCCTCTCGTGTCTCTTGAATAAAACAAACAATTAATAAATGATAACAGACGAGAAAACGCATTATGTTTACTTCCGTCTTCACTCATATGTTTACTTTCGACTGGACTCATGAATCGGCACGCTTATCATAAACAACATGTACATTGTACAAGCATACATCTGAACTCAATTTCTGTCTCATTTTTAAGTGGGTTTGACTGAACTTGTTTCGCAAAAAAACAAATTAGCTCCATGCTCTCAACTAAACTCAAAGAACTACTTTGATGACGATACGCTTACGTTGTTGGCAGAAACAGTCTTCAAAATTGTTTTCGAAGAACAAAATTCGATGCAGTTGTCAGACCTAACGGAATATCTTAGTAGGCTCCTCTTCTGAAGTAAAAAGGAACAATTCCAGGTAAATTGTCTTCCGTGAAAAGTAAAAATGAGGAATCAACCTGTGCCAAAATTGGAAACGCCCTAACGTTATAAACGAAAATCTACATAATTTTCCGACGTTCCCTCCCGATAGTTTGTCCATTTGACAATTTGNAAAAAAAAAAAAAAAAAAAAAAAAAAAAAAAAAAAAAAAAAAAAAAATGATTGCAGGTGAAGAGGGAAAACTAAGGAACAAACAGAACACAAATGGTCACGACAAGATAGAGAAGAAGAGGTTAAATGAAGGATGCATGCTTCTACTTCAGACGCACGCACACTCACCCTCACTTACACGCACGCACGCACGCACACTCACTCACTCGCACAACTCACAACTAAATCTAAGAGAACCCAAACATCAAAGAGAAAATATGGGTTTGGTTCACAATCTAAAATAACCCAAACATCAAAAGAGAAAATATGAGTTTGATTCAAACAATCACACGCTCGCGAACTCACCCTCACACAATCACACGCACGCACACTCACCCTCACAACTCACAACTAAATCTAAGAGAACCCTAACCCCAAAGAGAAAATAAGAGCTTGCGTTGTATGGGGAAAGTTCGTGATCGCATTGTCTTCCCGCGTTTGTTTTTCAGCCAATCAGACTCCCGACGACCAATTTTGGATTCCTTATGGAAAATAACATGAGGAAGCGAAACCAAACAATTTCCCCCGAATTCAGTCGATTTTTCGAGAAAAAGATATCCATGGCTGACTTCTCGAGGATCGGCGTTTCTATTGATGCATTTTGATACATTCAACTTTTTCCTAACAACAGCAAAACCCAAGATCTTTGGTGTTTATAGGAGAGAGTGGAATGTGTGATACATCAATAGAAACGCCGAATATCCGAGAAGTCAGTCATGGACAGTTTTCTCGAAAAATCGGCTAAATTCGGGGGAAAATGTATGGTTTTGATTCCCCATGTTATTTTTCATAAGGACTCCAAAATTGGTGGTCGGGAGTCTGATTGGCTGAAAAACAAACGCGGGAAGACCAGGCGATCACGAACTTTCCCCATTCAATGCGGGCTCTTATTTTCTCTTTGCCTAACCCTAAGCTTAACCAAAACCTAAGCCTAACCTAAACTAAACCCACCCACTCCCATTCTACTTCCCATGACCTCAAGCCCGGCCCGAAATAATGGAGCTTTTGCGTGTGTCAAGAATTTGCGATTGAAGAACTGATTCCTATGTAAAATTTCGCTAGAGGTACGATGGTGCTACTGGTTTCCTCTAAAACAAACTCTAAAACTCAGTAAAAGCTCTTAAAGTTGAGGCCGTAAAAAAGGGGATATCCCACGCTACGCTGAGAGTCTACATCTATACTTAGTGAAACCCTCCATGCAAAGATAAGAGCAAATACATTAACAGGGTTGCTGTGTTCTCAGTTTTGGAGTCTCCACACAAAGTGGCAACCCTGCTAACGTATTTGCTCCTTATCTTTGATGGAGAGGTTGATTAGATATAGAGGTGGACTCTTAGCGTAGCGTGGGTTATCCCCCTCTTTACGGCCTGAACTCTAAGAGCTTTTACTGAGTTTTGGAGTTTGTTTTAGAGAAAACCCGAGGCATCATCGTATTTCTCGCAAAATTTTATGTAGGATAATGTACTTAAATCGCAAATCCCCTACATATGCAAAGGCTCAATTACAGCCCGCCCTCCTGTGGGCAAACAAGTTGGAAATGGTGATAATTCGGACATTTTCGGGCGAACCGAGCATTGCAACTTCGGATCCCAAAAGCTCACCGGGATATTGTTCCCATTGTGTCTACAAAGAGCCTTTACCTATCGGTCGGACCTTTGCCATTGTGGCCTACTGGTAGACAAAAATTGCCCACCAATTTTCTTTATCGGTTGTGAATTTTTCCCTCATTTCAACGGATTAGGATTCAGCTTGCAATCCTGATGAAAAATGTAAATAATTGTAGGTAAGTGTAATAGCAAGTTATCATATCACAAAACACGCTGAAGGAATTCGCAAATTTTGTGATACAATAACTTACCATTAAACCTACCTACAACTGTTTACATGTTTCATCAGAATTGCAGGCTGAATCCTGATCCTGTTAAATAAAGGAAAAAATTACAAAGGATAAAATAATTGGTTGGCAATTTATGTCTACCAGTAGGCCATGATGACAAAGGTCCGGCCGCTATAGGGAAAGACTCAGTGTGTA